CCTAAGCCTTTCTTCTCAAAGTGTGGCCCATGGACCTACAGCATCAGCAAGCCCTATTCAGAGAGCCTCAGGGTCTGCATTTCAGCAACCAGAAAACTCCTGAGCAGGTTAGAATTTGGGGACACTATGATACTAGTTTAAGACATCCTCTGTGTAAGGGTGAGTGTTGTGGCACAATGGGGTAAGCCCCTGCCTGCAATGCTAGCATAACGTATAGTCGTCAGTTTGAGTTCCAGCCACTATACCTTCCTGTACTGACTGTTTTCCAGGAAAAGCAGTGGAAGAAGGCCCAAGTGCTTGGGCCCCTGCCAGCTATATGGGATACTCAGATGAAGATTCACGTTCCTAGGTTCAGTCTGGTCATAGTTGCTGTGTGATCATTTGGGGAGTGAATCAGTAAAAAGAAGATATGTCTCTCTTGGGTCTCCCCTTCTCTATGTAACTCTGCCTTTTAAATAAGTAGATTGATCTTTTTAAAAACAACAGATGAGACTGATTGCTGAGATTACAGTGAAGGACTCAATGATGGGGAAGTGACCTCCACCTGGCCAGGAGGTCCTGAAGGAGCATGTCTGCCAACAAGGCCACCCCATGGGTCTATGGGCAGGAAGATGCCTCTGTAAACAAAGGAAGAGTAGGATGCCCTCTCCCAACAGCATCTGGAAAAATGTTTCCCTTGTGATTGTTCCTTTTTTCCTCTTTTATGACACTCACCATGCAGTTCGACACACATTTCATTTGAAATGTTTGCATTTTTCAACTTTTCTTGAAAACTTGAAAGTTTCTATTTTTAAACTGTTTGTCTTCACAATAAGAAATCCATCATGGTATATTTTCCCTAAGCCTTCCTTTCCCATATTGTTGTTCCTACTTTCTTTCCCCCATGGTGTGCTCTGGTGAACTTCTCTTACCTTCCCTCAGTGTCTTTGCTTATCAGAAAAATCCCCTTTCCCAGACCTTTCCAATTGTCAGTCGGCACAGTTCCTATAGTACTTCCAAGCCAGTTCAAGTGATGATTTCTCCACGAAGATCTCCCTGACAACTAGAATTTTTGCTTTGTATCTCTCTTCATGTCTTCAGTACAGAGTCATAGTTATTTGTAATTAGAAGCAGTAGTAGTTATTGAATGACCAATATGTTGCTGAAGAAATAAAAAAGAAAATAAAAAATAAAAAACCTTGAAGAAAATGATACTACTATATGACCTATGAGTCAGTGAAGAATTTAATAAAAGAAACTATTTTGAAGAAATAAAAACAAAAATGTTGAAACTCATGAGCTGCTGCAAAAATAGCATTGAAAGGGCTTTAATCTTACATTTTGCATGAAGGTTGCCTTATATCAGAGAGAAATACGATGTTTGTCCTTTTGGGATTGACTTATTTCACTTAGCCTAATGGTCTTTAGCTGAGACCATTTAGTTGCAAATGGTAGAATTTCATTCTTTTAATGGCTGAGCAGTATTCCATGGAGTAGATGTACCATGGTTTCTTTATCCACTCTCTTTTAATGAACGCTCCTCTTTTGTGTCACTGAGTTTCTGAAGCTCTTTATAACTCCTAAATATTAGTTCTTATCGGTTGTGTAGTACGCAAAGATTTTCTCCCATTCTGTTGGTTGCTTCTTCACTTTATTGATCATTTCCTTTGCTGTACAGAAGCATTTTAGATTATTCATTCAATAGCATGTTATTTAACATTATGGTGTTGTAAACATTTAGCTTTCTTCCTGTTGTTGATTTTGTTTTATAGCTTTCCACTTAATAGAAGGTGTAGTAACTGTATAATAGTGAAGATGCAATACAGTATGCCTCTCTACTTCTAAATCAAAGATGGACTCCCAATGAAACTGTTAAACATATCTTGACAATAGGATGCTGAACACTCAGACATTATCTGTACTTATATAGCAGAATGACAGACTTACGACTGCTTATGAAGGGCTATATTTTTGTAATGATACAGGGGGAATCGGTTGGGGGAATGGAGGAAACTGAGGAAGGTGTAGGGGAAATCCCAGAGCCTATGGAATTATATCATACAAATAAAAAATTTTAAAAAATTAGAAGCAGTAGCAGTTATAGCAGTAACTCTAATGTTTTTGATGTGCTGTGAGTTCTTCAAGGCCTTTTGGTGTTTTGAAAGTGCCTTGATCATAATGTCACTAGGTGAAGGTTAGTTACATGAATGACTGACCATTTGTCTTAAGGATTGAGGCAGGTCTGATACACAACAGAAATATCATGCCAGTTCTCTTTTCTTTTGCTTATTGTGTAGCATTCCTTTGTGTCTGGCTAATAGAGCAAGCAATAGGTTAAGTATCAATAGCTCTGTAGCTTTGAAAAACAGCAATCTCAAGAAAGTACTTAAAGAGCTTGCATTCAGATGTGGATGGGAAAGCTGTTGCTGGGGACATCACATCCCATATTCTTAACAGTGTCTAGATTAAATGCTGGCTACATTGCACTTCTGATTCAACTCTACTAATGCATCTGGAAACGGGTGATGGTCCAGGTACTTGAGTTCCTGTTGCCTGTTTGGAGATCTGGACAAAGTTCCTGATTCCTGGTTCCTAGATTTGTCCTGGCCTACCCCCGGTGCTGTGAACATTTGGAGAATGAACTAGCAAACAGATTTTTTTGTTGTTCTTCCCTTTTTCTATGTCACTCTGTTTTTTTAAAAATAAGTAAAAACAACAATAAAAAAATGTTTCTTTAAAAAATGACAAGGTGTGTCCATTTATTTAGACAGTTTTACCATCCTACCTTGGGCAACTTGCTTCCTCAGCTCCAGAAGAACAGTTTGATCTAAAATTAGATGAAATAGGTTTGGATTAAGAGTTCTCTAAGGCTCCTTCCAAATCTATGCTATAATCCTAAAATAACAAGAATGCCAAGATTGGCTTTCAGAGCCTTGAGTTGTTATGTTTCAGATATTCTAATGTCAAAGTGTCATAAATATTAATACTACTTAGCTATGTGCTGTATTCTCAATCTGATTCTATCCTAGGTCTCACATCATCCACTCTCTGAAAGTGTGAAATTTTTCTTTCTAGAACAACTTGCTGCCAAAGGCTTCTTCTCTGATCTGTTTGACTTCTCAAGTGGAGGCACACCTTCTGCAACCACAATGTCCCCATTTCACCTTTCTCCCAGCCCTGGGCACTCATGACTTGGCAATCCCTGCATGTGAAAGAGCCCATCTTCACAGCTAGTTACAAGTAGACAAGTGCTATTTTCCTTACCCTGTGTATCTCAGGCTCCAACAGAATGATCAGCTTTTAGGGCACTCAGTGGAAAGTTGATAATTATTAGGTTATAGTTTGCAAATGGTGGATGATCTGTAACATGTAAGCTGCCATAACACATGACTAACCTCACAACTAACATCCTGTCAATGATAACTGACATTCGCAAGGTGCTGTTCTTAGGATGTATCGAGAGAACTCTCTGTTATGCTTGTCAACACAGGGCATGATCCAAAATGAGCAGCGAGTGCTGCGAAGATACAAGAGATGTTCTACATTGTTCACTTACTCATAAGTGATCTCTCTGCACAGATATTCATACATGATCTCAGCTGTGTAAGCTCCAGTCACATGCTTTTCCTTCTCCAGACAGCCCTTGTAGGTATCCACCTCTCCAGCCAGAAATATTTTTTCCCTCTAAATGCACATAGCACATTTCCTATAACCCTGTCATTATATTTTCATTTTATGACACTAATATTATGTTTTTCTTCTTCTTCATGTTTTATAGCTTCCGCTATTGGTTGAATGACTATACTAGACTAATGAAAATCAGAATCTAAGGGGCATCTTGTTCCCTGCTCATGTCTTCCATATTCATGGATTCAACCAATGGGGGATTGAAGAAAACTAACAAACAAACAAACAACAAAAAAGGTATCAGGGCCCAGCGTGGTAGGCTAATTGCTAAATATGCCTTGAATGCACCGGGACTCCCATGTGGGCACTGGTTCTAGTCCCGGCACCTCCACTTCTCATCCAGCTCCCTGCTTGTGGCTTGGGAAAGCAGCTGAGGACAACCCAAAGCCTGGGGCCCTGTACCCATGTGAGAGATCCGGAAGAGCTCCTGGCTCCTGGCTTCGGATCTGTGCAGCACCAGCCGTTGCACTCACTTGGGGAGTGAATCATCGGACAGAAGATCTTCCTCTCTGTCTCTCCTCCTCTCTGTATATCTGACCTTGCAATAAAAATAAATAAATCTTTTTTTTAAAGTATCAGACATATACAGAATTTTGTCTTTTAATTAATTCCTTGTTATATTATAGCAAATAGACCTAGCATTTATATTGTGTGTTCTAAGTCAGAGAGGACGTAAGACATTAAAAATATGTGTAGGTTCTGTTCAAATACTATGCCGTTTTATACAAGGACCTTGAGCATACTTGGCTTTTGATATCTGTTAGGCATTCCTAGAGCCAATTCTCCTTGGATACTGAGAGACAACTTTAATTATAAAACACTTTATATGTGGATACATGAAATCTGTGCTAAGGTCGAAAATTCCCATGTCCTTTGAGAAACAACATACTATGGTAGTTAAGTGTCTAGGCACTGGCCTGCTTGTTTGCTTCAGTTCACATTCCAGCTCTACCACTTAGAAATTGGAGCTTTGGAAAGTCATTTAACAATTGTGAACTTATTATATAAATGGGATTCAAACTATATCCCCCATAGACTTACTGTGAGTTTCAATGAGTCAACATATATAAATACAGGAAATAGTTGACAGTACTGCTATGTATTAGCTGTTACAGTTTCCTATGGAGGCCTATACCTAGGAGATACTTGACTCAATATATTCCTAATCCTGTTGCTATGAAACACACTCCCTATAAATACTTACACTGCAGACTGTACAAGGTTTTGGAAGAATTAATCCATTTGGTTTAATAAAGTCCTCTCTTGTCTTAACAATAGCACATGCATTATCTCATTTTTATACTTTTATATAACTGGCTGTTTTCTTCCTTCAGAGCAAACTGTTCAGAGACCATGTAATTGTCAGCAGTCAAAAAGGAGATTGAATTTCTGAAGACTTCATTGGTCCAACAATGGCATGGGCATGGCACAGGCCTGAAAACTTCCCAAGGAGAAATTTCATGGGTCATTTCCTGGTGACATGTGACAAACTGGAATCCTAAAAGGAACTTTGAACATTAGAGACCAAGTGAGTACACAGGCTGATAAGGTTAGTAATAATAGATGAAAAATTCACTTATTTTCCCTTTCTTTCTGACTTCTTTGTATTTTGGTTTCTCAATTGCATCCTTCATAAGCTATACTTATATAAATTCTAGGGAGTTGGAAAACCAAGTGTAATATCTTCAAGTAAAAATGTACATGACAACAGTGGGTATGTTTACAAAGATGGACATGATAGTCTCTCACCCACCCCTCTATGCACCTTTGCAACACAATTTTGTTATTCCTCTTAACAAAAAGAGGCATCCACTTATGGACTCTGTGAATCTAGGCTACTTTCGAAACTTGCTTCAAACCAGTAGAAGAACATGGCATGTGAGGTTTTAGCCACTTGTGAGCCTCAGGAAGCAGCTTCTGCTCTTAACTTGTAAAAAAGCCTGAGCTAACTGGCTGCATGCTGGCGACACATGGCTGAGCTAACAGTCATTACCAATGTGCTCCAAGTGGACTGCCCAGTTGTTTGAATTTACGTGGGTATACCACGGCCAGTTCATCACAATAGCTACCCAGATGCACTCAGACCAAGGGAATTGTGAGCTAATCAATGACTACTTTAAGTTATTGAATCTTTGGACTGGATTTTTATGTAACTAAGACTAACCACTTTACCTAATGCTTGCCATTGAAAGAAAAATCTTCACAGAATTGATTCTGTGACGATATTTGGCTTTTGTGAAGCTTCCTGGTTTGAAATGAAAGTGGCCATTATCAGAGTGTGGGCACAAGTTCACTGCAGAGGAAAAACATGGAATGGATGTTCCCAAGTGACAAAGATTTCATTACAGACATGTTGGCTTTTTGTATGCATCAGAGAGGAGTCCCTGATTCGAATCTTGGTCTCTTCATTTCCAGTCCAGCACCTTGAAAACAGCAGATGATAGCTGTATACTTGGTGCCCTGCCATCCCTGTGAGAAGCCTGAACTCCAAGTTCTTGGTTAAAATGTGGCTCAGTCCTGCCTGTTGCAGGTTTCCGGGGAGTGAACCGGTCCAGGTTCATCTCTGGCTCCCTCTATCTCTCTACCTTGCAAGTAAAATGAAAATAAATATTTTAGAAATTATTTATAATAATCTATATATTTATAGCTCATTGTATACTTACTGAATACCTGCAACCCTCTTTCCTTACTCCCTCCGTCTCTTTCTCTCTCTCTCTTTTTTTTTCTCTCAGTTTAGAATAAAAATTTATTAGAGATAACCAGGGCCACACATGGAGGTATTTTCAATATTAGCATCACAGAATTAGAAATGACCATGGGTCTGCAACCCTTATATTCTGTATTAGTTATTGTTTTTAACTATTAAAGACACAATTAAGAGTTTACCTGAAGACAGGTTCATGCAAATGTGTGAAATGACATCTATATACTCAAACTATTCTCAGTAATGTTTATAAATAATTGCCAAGTTGTTGTCATGGTCACCATAAAATGAGATTCATGTTTAATTTTAGAGAGTGAAATGGCTTAAGTTTTGATATCCTGTATCTACCTTTATGTCCCAATATGAAATTAAATCAATCTCTGTCTTCCTTCGGTAACCTGCAAGAAAACAGAAAATGTGTCCTTGTGATCCTCCAGGCATGGAAATACTTTCAAGAGTTGTAGGTAGAAGGTAGATGGCAGCTTTCATGTTTTAAAATCTTTCTTATTTTTATCCGGAGTTCCATGTAACATTGTCAGTTCCCGCCCTCAGAGGTGCAGAATGGTACAGAGGTGACTGTGCTAGTGAAGAGACTGCAGCATCGAGTATCTAGGATTCCTGTAAGGCACTGTACAAAAGCTCAGGTCCTTGGTCTCAAGCGAATATTGTTGCTTTTATTGATTCTGAAAAGAAAAAGAGGGAGGGAGAGAGAGAGAGAGAGAGAAGCTTTGTTGAGATTGAAGTGTAAATTCTCCAATCCATATTTTTGTAGAGAACAGACTTCACCCTGTAACTCATCAGCACTTCATACGTGCATGTATTTTACAAACATTTATGGAGCTTCCTCCAAAGGTGTTGGAGATCTTTGGCCAGATGTTTTTGTACCTGGGATTCAGGCTTCAGTAAGAAGAGCAAACTCCTCTAGGGTTTGCCTATTTCAATCCTGACACATTTCCCAACAGAGGAAGAAGTGAGGTGTGAGGGGGCAGAAAAGGAAGTGAATCTTTACTTATCTTGAGGGTGTATCAGGTGATGAGCTGGCTGTTTTGCAAAAGTTATTTATTTAATAACACCAAATAGCCAGAGAAAAAGAGAGATGGCTTTATTTTCCCTATTTTACAAACAGGTAAATCAGAATTCAGAAAGGTTAACTTGTCCCAAGTTATATTCCCACAGGTTAGCTGCCACTTTTCACACTAGTATCCCTAAAGCTCATTTTCTTTCCTGGAGCTAGGAGAGGGATGCGTTTGTACTCTTCATCCACTTAATCTGTGCCATCTGTGTCAATCCTCACAGCCTTAGGAAGGTTCCTGCAGTGTAGCAAGGCGGTCACCTGTCTGACCCCAATGCCCTCTCTATGCTTGTCTCCCCTGTGACCACTTGGAAATACAGGGATTTAGAAGACTTGGTTTCTTAGGCCCACTTTCCAGCTTTAAAAATCTCCATGGAATCAAAGAAATGGTTATCTGAGTAATGTGTGCTAAGGGGTTTCTTTCAACAGCAGAGAATCCTTATTTCTTTGAGTTTTATTTTTAAATACTTTGTTTTTTTTTTTTATTTTCCTCATGTGCATTCTTAGTATGAATAGGTGTTAGAACTGCGACCTTTATTTATTCCCAGGGTGTTTTAGGCATAAGCAGTAACTGCTGGGAGAGTTTCCCCCATACTGGAGCGTCAGAGACACCTCTCTGAGGGGGTGTGAGCAGAGCCTCACTTAGACTTTTCTGAGAAGCCAACAGCCCACCAGGTGTAGCTGGAAGTGATAGGGAAGGTGATGGGCACAGCTGGGGAGTGTGAGTTGCCGCTCTGGTGCGGACCTCCACTGAGGGTGTGATGATGGGCAAACAGGATCTCTCCAGGCTTTGAGTGTCAGTGCCCTGCGAAGAAGGGCTTGAGCTGACAGAGCCAACGTACAGGTAATGTGGCCGGTGCATGATCGTTTCAGTTTATTCATGGCCTACCAGGCTTCTATCCTTTAAAGCTGGAGAAGTGAGTCTTGGATCATTTCCCTGTCCTACAGATTGTCTTTGACTGGTCTCATAGACCTTTAGCATGAGGCATCTGTCAGTTATCTTGTAGGTTATCTGATTCAAGATTCCAAACTCAGGAGCAGAATAGATTCCCTGCTTGATGAAAAAGCATATTTCTTGAGAATATGCCAAAGGAAAAAAAAGGCAAATGGAGATCACCTAGAATTAGACAAAAATTACTATGACAGATTACCAACTCATTACTCAGAAAGGAAGTCACTGCCTCTTACAAGCAATCCATACTTGACTTAAATTTAAGAACTAGGTCTCAATGGAATCACAAACAGCTGCTAATACCAGCCCTTCATACTAGTCCTTATTTTCTTAGTTTTACAGCCTTTGAGGAATCATGAGGCACCGATAAAGACCACTGGTATCCAGTATAGAAAACATTTTCATTAGATCTGTTGACTAGATTTTAGTCTATCATCCTGTCAGGTCCAGCAGTTCCTTCCAGATCATCCATGAAAAGCAATATTCCCTCTTGACTTCAACTTTCCAATAAACTGCAAATATTTCTTTTATGGCACAGCTTGTTTTAATATTGGACGGAAATTAATTAGAAAGTGATGCCCTGATACATATCCTTATAAATGAGTAAAGTATGTACTAAGCTTTCTGAAACCATCAGAATTGTTGGTCGCAAGCAACAGAAATGAATTCTGGGGCTAATGTTCTGATGCAGCAAGCTGAACTGCTGCCTACAATAATAGCATCCCATACTGGAACAAAATTTCAAGTCTTAGCTGCTCTGCTTCTGATCTAGCTTCCTGCCAATGTGCCAGGAAGGCAGGGGAGAATGCCCAAAGTACTTAGGCCCTGACCATCTATCTGAGAGACCTACATGGAGCTCCAGATTCTAAAATGCGGCCTGTACCATCCCTGGCTGTTTCAGTCATTTGGGAGTGAACCAGTGGAAAAAAATCTCTCCCCCTCCATTTTTAAATTAATAAATAAACAACTTTTTAAAAAGAAAGGAAATACATTTTGGTTTTCTCATTTGAAAGAGGATTATATTAAATAAACTTCAGAGCTTACTTAGGAGGATGAATGAAGCATCTCAACAAGAGGCAGGCACCACAGTGAACATACTTTATCAAGAACTGTCTGGTCCTTATGTAGGACTTGGATGTGCATGAATGGCAAACATTGCCCCATATGTACCTCCTTCACTAAAGAGTCAAAATCTTGGAAACAAGAATGGTATTGGCCAGACTCAAGGCATGAGGTTTAGACTTAGAAATGTAAAATACAATGCAACCCTTCTTCTAAAGGGGTTAATATACTTTGTCAATGAGTTCTGAGTCCATTGTTTTGTACCCTAAATAGTGTTTTGTGTAGACTTAGAAATCTATTTTAGAAGGTGAAGAAATGAATTCTGTCACCAGATTCAGTTGTACCCTCCAGCTTTTTAATGCCATTTACTGGTTTATATCAGGAGCACTTAATGAACTTTGTAATTAGTTCTTCCAAATGGTAGCAATATCAGGCTCCTCATTTGATCCATGCACAACAAACCTACAGTCTGAAAAAAATTTTTTTGAACCATTTTCTAGCCTTCCCTAACATTCTTGGGCTTCCATCCTCACCTACCTTGGGTTGCCACTTGTGTATAAGGTCTTATCTTTATTGGAATTCAGGCAAGAGGGAAAAGATTGTGTCTCATGTTTTCCTTGTTTACTCACCGAGTGCATAAAATATTCTCATTATAAATGTCCTAAATGAATCAATCATGAAACAGAATGAAGTAGACATAAGGCTTCTTCTTTCAACCAGGTTTATGAATTTGAGAAGTAAATTCATCTCTCTGAGGCTTTCCTGTAAAAAAAAAAAAAGAGTGAGGTGTTGGCTGCAGAAGGAATAGTGTAATAAGTAGCAGTTTATTTGCCTACCCAGTCAAGCTCTCCATGTTCTAAGTCTGGATGCTGTTTGGTTTTGCCAGATGGTACACTTCTACTGGGGCCAGGCCCCTGCCCGATGAAGAAATGTTTTTTGGAGCTTCTGTGTGTCTCATCACCTGGAGGCCTTGCTCAGTTAAGGGTTGTTGTATCTGTACTGGTTTCTAGGATGAAGAAGGAAATAAACTGTGAAAACACAATATTAACAGGATGCAAAAGAAGTGAATTTTTGCCTGTCCTTTCTTGTAGATATCATCTCACTTCCAGGCAGTTCCCTAGGGAAAAAAAAAATTATGTTTATCACTGTGCAGATGAAACTGAGAGAGGAGATTGTATTATTCCCTGGATTTCCACATGCGGGCTGGCAGATCTGATGGGCTGAGTTGTTGTGGGTACAGTTTTTTGTGTCCTACCCTAAGAAATGATTCATAATTTTGAGATAGGGCCTGGGAGGAATATTTATGCTCAAAAACTTTCCAAGATGATTCTGACATGAAGCCAGGATTGGAAAGCACTGTTTTTGACAGCTGAATCAGTCCAAGTGTATGAACAGGGTGAAACAAA